CATGAGCATCCGGAATTGCTGCAAGAGACCATCCAAAGAGACAGTGTCAGCATAGGGGACGTGTCCACAGAGCACGAGGGACCCCTGAGACCCAGAGCCCGGTCTGCATATCGTATCGAGCCTCCCTGCAGCAAGTGGCAAAGGCTGCCTGGCAGAGTTTCAGAGGACTGTTTCTCACCCTTCCTGTAAGAGACATGCCTCTACCTCAGCAATGCCATTGAGTCAAAGGTAGCCTTGGACAGAGGGGAGGAGCTTCTCCAAGTTGCTAGGAGGCCGGGCCATTTGCATAAAATTTCCAGGGTATAAAGATGCCGCCATTCCTTTCACTTCAGAAAACGAAAGAACCTCTCTCCAGAGGTCCTTACCCCATGCTCCATAGGGCGTTACGGCCAAGACAGTAGCTGCCAACCCTGTGTGATTATTAGATACTTGAATTGTGGCCAGTCTGAACTGAGATGTGCTGTTAAGAGTAAAATACATTCCAGATTTTAAAGACTTATGAAAAAAGAATGTAAAAGCATGAAGAACAGAATGTAAAATCTCTCAATAATTTTTATATCAGTTCCCTGTTGAAACGCTAATATTTTGAATATGTTGGGTTAAAAATTTATGTGCCACAGCGACAGCACACACACCAGCTCTAGCCCGCTTCCTCCTTCCTTTATGCAGTCCACTTCCTCCAGATCGCACCCTCTGCGGACAAGAACTAACGGTACTATCCTATTCACTCCACTATCCTATTCGCTCAGGAGCCAGCTCACCTCAGTGCCCGGGATGGGGATGAAGGTCATGAACTCGTCCACATGGCCCACGGTCAGCCAGTCCGAGTAGAGCTCCACAGGTGCCTGCACCTGCTGGGCCTGCAGGAAGTCTTGCACCACCTTGGTCATCCTTCGACCGCCGGACCTGGGGCAGGGTCGAGGAGGAGGCAGCTTTTCAGAAGGTCGCCCACTGTGCCTGTCTCACCAGAGAGCCTGCAGCCTCTGGAATCCAGCCTGAACCCAGGGCAGCACCAGCAAAGAAATCACAGGAAGGCATCTGAGCCCAAGTGGAGAGAGGGAGATGTTAGCTGCTGCCAAGGCCTGTGTGAAAGGCATGGAGCCCACCCAGCCTTCAGCCCCCAAGGGCGCCAGTGGGTGTGAGGGGCTTCTGTGTTCAGGGGGCCTTCTTGGATTTCCGGAGGGGACTAGGACATAGGCATGGTTCTAAAATCTGCCCTAGCCCATGTGCCTCTTTGCTTTATTAACTTCTACTCAACTTCATTTTTAATCAATTCAAGTAACACCTCCTCCAGGAAGCCTTTTGTGACTTTCAGGTCCTCTGAGGTCTTCGGTCTCCCCATTACTCTTAGAATATAATCCAAGGTCTTTACAGTAAACAGCAAATTCCTCTGTGATCTGACCCCACCTGGCACTCCTACCTCATCTCTCTTTCTTCCTTCTTGCTCTGTTTGTTCTAGCCACCTGCTAAGCCTATTACCACTTCGAGGCTTTGCTCTTACTGTTCTATTAGGAATGCTCGTTCCTTCCAATCTGCTGACTTCCTCCTTCTCATCATCCAATTCCAAAGTCACTTTCTCAAAACCACAAGTTAAGGTAACCCCGTCCCACCATTCTTTGTCATGTAATCCTATTTTATCTTCATTCCACTTATTGGCACCCAGAAGTATCTTATTTATGTTCTTGCTTTCATGTTTATTTTCTCTACTCCCCCCACCCTGATTGAAAACCACCTGAGAGCTGAGATTTCCTCTGCTTTGCTCAGTGCCGTATCCCCAGAGCCACGAACAATGCCTGGCACAGAGAAGCCGCTCAATTCGTATTTGTCTCTAGAAGTCCTCCCTGAGTTCCCCACAGGGGCTAGCGACCCCTCCTTTGATTCCCCCGGCTCTCTACCATGCTTTCTATCACTGTATGTCCCCCTGTTTCATGTCTGTGATCATCACCATCCCCTCGAAGTTGGGGGCTGGGCTTCATGTTTGGAACCCCATGCCTGGCACAGGGCTTGGCACTTGGGTGGTGCTTGGGGAATACCTGCTGAATGGACGGGCGGCTGCTGAATGAAAGGAGAAGGGAAAAGGTGGGCAATGGTCACCGACAGTGTCAGTGGTCCCCACTAAGAAGGTCAAGCATTCCATGTGGCTCAGAGGGACTTGGTGCCCAAGTCCTGGTTGCTCCCATTTGTGCAGGCTTCTGGCAGCCCTTTTGTGAAGTGAGGACCACAATACTCTCTCCCCAGCCCTGATTGAGGAAGAATCCGCCTTTTCCTTGACAGGTCATCTGGGGACAGAATTATGATGTTGTAAACAGGCCATGAAGCCAAGGACTCACGCTATGTAACAGGGCTATGTCTTCTTACGCCTCTTTTGTGTGTGGGCACCCCGGGGATTTGTCGGTAAGCTCCTACTCATCCTCTTTCAGTATTCTTTCTCTGGACTCTCTCATCCCTTCCCTATCTGGTTTATAATGTCATTATATACCCTCCTATTTTGGGAAGAGAGTTATTTAGTTTTATAGTCAATCCTAATTTATACTAAGATGTAAAGGCTAACTTGGTTTTCTTTTCACGAGTGTCTGAATGTTATCACGCCCACTGCCCCCAGACCCACGCTGGCTTCTCTTACAGAGGAAAGCTGCTCCCGATGAGGATCCGGCCCAGGGGGTATGTCTTGCCATTCACAGTCACTGGGGGACTGACCTCCAGGTTCCCAAAGGAATCAAGGCTGGTGACAGGCTCAAAGAGGGGCTCCCGGTTCACGTAGCCAAAATCTGGACCCTAGGTAGGGGGCGCACACATGTCATTAGTCTCCTGCATCCAGAAGTCTTTAGCCCCAACCTGCCCACATTCTGATGCCCACTCTTAGATTACCTGTGGTCTGGCACTGTGGGCAGGGCCTGGCATGGAGAGGCTGAGTGTGTGAGCACGTTGGTGTGAATGTGGGTATGAGTGTGTGTCTGTGTGTGTGTGCATCTGAGCCTCTGCATAGGCCTCTAACTATCTCCCAAACATAGAGACCATTGGTGAGTTCAGGACTAGTCCTCAGTTTGTGCTATGGATGTAACCACTCATCTCTTCATATCTCCGACTCTCAGTTTCCCCATCTGTCGAAGAAGTGTGGGATTAAGTGACCTGAGGCAGGGTGGTAGAGAGTACTATTGTTTCCAGAGACTTGCTACTCCCTTCCCAGTAAGAGGATTTTGCTATTGCTGTGTGACTTCCGGTATCTCCCTGGAGAAGGAATTTTCCTCCCTGCCTAATATCAAACTTAGTCATGTGACTTGCTTTGGCCAATGAAATGTGAGCAGAATTCACTCATGCCAGTTCAGAGCAGAAGCCATAAGATTCACAGTATATGCCAGCTGTCTTTCTCCTCCCCTCATGCGAGGAGAATGGTACTTCCCAGACTGGGACTGTTCCTGCAGCCTGAGCTCTCGAAAGAGGAAGCATGAGGAAACGGAGCCGCAGACAACCAACCAGCAGTCACCATGAGTATAAGCAAGAAATGGACCTTCACTCTTGTCAAGCCTTGAGATTTGGGGGTTGTTTGTTACTGCGTCCTTGCCTAGTGAAAGCTGACTGATACATGCAGAAATGACAGATATATAACATATATGACATTCCAACCTATTCTCAACCAACCACATTTGTTCACTGAGCCCAGATGTAGCCTCAGAATCCTTAGCGCAAAGCTCCAACAGATTGGAGTTGGCCTAACCCGTGATCCTCAGTTCATATAACCCTTGTGACCCCCTGAATTTTAAGGTTCCTTTTATGATTTTTCGGTAACAAAAGTAGGGGCCTTTCTTGGGGACTTGCAGTGGGGTTGGGACTAATCTTGGCTGACAAAAATCCTTGTTAAAAAAAAAAACACATGGAGTGGGAAGAAGTGTGGCTTATCCTCGCCCAGCGGAGAGGCTCCAGGGACAGCTGTGGCAAATGAGGTAGATGGCTGCAGCTTATCACTTCCTCGCCTGGAAGCCCCAGATGGCAAGGTGCAATCTGCAGGAGGCCGGGGCAGCTGAGGCTTTACGGCATCACGCAGGCGGGCAGGCACGCAGCACAAAGCCGGGCTTGGCACAGGCCTCCAGGAACAGTGCCGCCCAGGGCCTTGGAAGCAGGCCAGCCTGGGATACTGAAGGCAGATGGTGACCCGGGAAGAGCGAGAGCAGGATCTGGGAGGTCTTGGTGCTCATGTCTGTGGCAGCCGCTGCTGGTGACTTTACCCCTTCTAGTGCTGGAGGAAGTGGTCAGTCTTCACTAAGGATAGTGACCAGGGCTGTGCAGTGATAATCATAACAACAGCTAATAGCGGTCAATATAGCAGGCATAAAACGGATGCCTTAGGGAACGGAACACCTTTGATCTTCACAATGACCTTGTGAGATGATTCTGTTTCTACCTCCATTTTACAGGTGAGCAAGCTGAGGCTTGTGGAGGTTGGGTTGCTTGCCCAAGGTCACACTGATGCTAAGGGGTGGGACTAGGACTCAAGGCCAAGTCCGCCTGACATTCCAGAGCTTTGTGCTCACACCATGAGCTCCACCATCTCCCTGTGATGAGGGGACTTGGTTAGTGAGTGTTCTCAAGAAGCGAGTGTGGACCTGGCAAGGGGTCACCTCTGAATAGCCCTGACGTCCTGTGGAGGGCATCAAAGGAGTGGAAATGGCCTCTAGCATTGAGAGCGGGTGGTCAGATTGCTTTAAAAAAACACATATGCCGAAAAGCACGGCTTTAATGAGCTTTAAAGTTGGAATCATAATTTTGATGATTGCTTAACTATAATTTTCCTCTTTGAAACCTATTTTGCTGCAAGTTAGAGGTGGGGCAGTGGCAGGAGTCAGGGTCCCTGCCCTGCCTCTGTCTCCCATAGTTCCCATGAGAAAACTCTCCATGTTTTGGAAAAGCATCAGTTATCGGAGCAGGAAAAAGCCTAAGAGATCACTATCCCAACCGACCCATTTCGCAGGTGAGAAGACAGAGGTCCTGGGCCACAGAGTAATTGTCAAGGGTGCCCAAGGTTTCCCGACCTCTTTGTCCTAGTAGGGTCCCCGGGATTGCGTCCCTCCCTCACCTACCCCAAGGGGGCCCTCGGCATCTCACCAGGAGCTGCTTCACTGGAAATTCCTTCAGGTTTCCATCTCGGGGGGAGTCCAGCACCACGGGGAAGCCTTTGTGGGGGGCCTCGATGTAGCCAAACTCGATTTCATCCTGCAGGGGCATGAAGAAGAGCCATCAGATGAGCCCAGAGGGCTGCCAGTGAGAACCGGCCAGCCTCCCACAATTCTCCTCCTCCACAGCAAGCGATGGCTGTGGTTTCTATTTATCCTTCCACAGATAGTCTCCGCACATCCCAAGCATGTCTGTACTCCTATCGACCCATTTTAAAAAACGTAATCGGCAGCATCTTGTGTGTAACTCCTTAACTTGAAGGGCATTCTGTATTTATAGATCAGCTTCTTCTTCGCTGTTGTATAGTACTCCACAGCAAGGCCATCCCATCATGTGCTGACCCAGCCACCTGCAGATGGACATTTAGGTTGTTTCACAGTCTTTTGCTACCAAACGAAGCAACACTGCTGTGAACTGCCTTATACATTGATGTCTCTGTGCCCATGTGCACGTGGGAGCTGACAGCAGAATTCTCACACACGGAGCTGCTGGGTGCCAGGGTATGGACTTTAAGTGACTCTTCTTGCCTGGACCATGTCCTTCCCAGGCTGGGATTCCTCACCTGGATCCAGCGGTCGCCTCGGTTTATGTACTGGAAGCAGACTTTCAGTTCGCAGTTGGTTTTCTCGACCAGGTTCTTCACCTCTTTCAGGAACAGGTAATTGTCCTTCATGCTGGGAAGTTGAGGGAAGAGGGGGAGACCAGGAGGAAGGGTGAGAAGGGACGAGGGCCAACCCACTGAGGTGACAATAGCAGCTGGCAACTCTGGGCTGCGCTGGGCAGATGAGCCTACATCTGCGTTCACAGGCATCTTTGAAAAGTCTGCTGTAGTCAAGGGCCAAGCAAACTCACCCACTCATGTGGTGAATAAATAAAACAAAGAGGGGAACTCTCACCCCCACTGCCCCGAAGCCTTACATCTCTGACTCCCCATATTTCTAGAGAGGAGTTAAGCCTGGCATGGAGACAGGGGAGTGGGCCAGGACTTCAGGGGTCCTTTTGGCGTGACCAGCATCCACCTGCAGGCACTGCTTCTCATCTTGCTGTGGCTGGCTAGCACATAACAGGCGTTCGATAAATAATTGCTGAATGAACGAGATTAATATCCATTGCTTGGGAAGTTCTCAACTCCATGGTATGGGCCAAGAATAAGAAAAGAAATGGTAACTATTATTTTTACAGCACACAAACTCTATGCCAGGACCTTGGACAAATACTTTGCCTGCTTTGTCTCAGTTCATCTTCACAGTGACTCTGTGACGTCAGCATTTCAGAGAAATGGAGGCCCAGAGAGGCCAAATGAGTTGCTCAAAGTCACACATCTAGTAAGTGACAGAGCCGGGATCTGAACTCAGGTCTGTCTGCCCCTAAAGCCCCAGCGTCAGCCGCTCTGCCACACTGCCCCCCTCTGTGCTGTGGCCCCTGCTTACCAGCACACGTACACTGACACGGGAGGCAGGATGTTGGGGGTCATGATCCATGGGGCAATCCGGAACATCACAGTGTCCGTAAAGATGGGTGTCAAGGGAATGTCCTGGGCATGGGAGAGAACGGAAGGGGATCAAAAAGTCTCGTCAGGGTGCTTTTTACTCCTGCCTTCCAAAATGGGTGAAGCTGATAACAACAGTACATTTATTGAGCACTTACTGTGTGCTAGGTCCTGTGGTGTTTTTATAGGCACCAATTCATTTCTGCGTTACCCCAGCGAGTAGATACGTTATATTCCTTGTTTTAAGATGGGGAAACTGAGTCACAGACCTCTGAATCACAGAACTCGTACGTAACCGTCGGAGGTCACGTGGTTAGTAAGTGGGAGAGCCCGGATTGAAACCCAGGTGGGCTGGCTGCTGAGCCCACACTCGTGACCCTTTCTGACTTTGCCCCATCGACGTTCTCTTCCTGAAATCAGCCCACATGATGGCTGAGCTGGCCCTGGGCCTTTTCTGTTTTTGCTCTGGGCACCTTGCCCTTTTCTTTCCTTAAAGTTGTTTGGGGAAATTTTGCTATGTCTAGATTGTTCTTTCCAGAAGGGTTCAGGCAGTATGCCTGGAACTTGAGGGAAAATGAGATATGATTCCAGGGTTCCTTTGCAGGACTGACTTTGAAAAGCTATAGCAAGGGTCCCCAACCCCTGGGCCATGGACAGGTACCAGTGTGTGGCCTGTTAGAAACCAGGCTGCACAGCAGGAGGTGAGCGGTGGGCGAGTGAGTGAAGCTTCCTCTGTATCTGCTGTCGCTCCCCAGCGCCAGCATCACCGCCTCGGCTCCACCTCAGATCACCAGGCACTAGATTCTCATAGCACTGGTCCCTGGTGCCAAAAAGGTTGGGGACTGCTTAGCTATAGGAAACTGGCTCCTGCCCTTGGTGGGGAGGATGGGGGTGGGACTGTAGGCAGGGCTGGCCTTTCTTGCCCGGGTCTCCTTTTCGAGCCTCTGTGGGTGCCTATTGAGGGGCCAGTCTGAGAGACCTGATGGCCAGGCTGCCCCAGGCAGCAGCGGGAGCAGAAGCCCCCTTCCTACCGCACGCTGTTAGCTGTGCCTTTTCTGCTGCTCTCCTTTCTCACGGACTTCAGAGTGCTTTGTGAATAAGTTCTTACCAGTTTAGATGCTCACGACCACCCCAGGAAGCTGGAGCTTTGTTGTTTCTGTTTTGCAGATGGGGAAACTAAGGCACAGGGAGTCTATTCGCTCTCAGAGTGTCTCATGAGCTTGAACCCGGGCAGTCTGACTCCAGAGCCTGTTCTCATCGATCTGAGGTGGACACAGCCTCACCTGAATGTGGGTGGTGGGGGCTTCTAGGTCTCCAAGCCCATTTGGTGCTTTGAGAGGAGTGGAGCGTCATGGGGGCTTCTGGGAGGGACCCTCTAGAAGGAACCCCATTTGGCACCCAAGGGCAGCCCCTCATGGAGCGGGAGCCCTCACCTTGGCCATATACTCCAGCAGGCTGACGTGGATGGAGACCAGGCCTGAGAAGCCCTCGTCGGGGAACCGGAGGCCTTCCACGAAGAACAGCAGCTCTGCGGAGCCGCCCGTGTACTTGACCACGTGGTACAGCTTCTGTCGGCCCAGGATGTGGATATAACGTTGGCCGAAGAACGGGTCTGATGGGAGAAGGACCAATGTCAGGCTCCTGCCCCCACCAGGAAGAGGTCAGTGGGGTGGGGTCACTGTTGGGGGACAAAATAGCAGAATAACTGGTCTTCTAGATGAAGAGAGAAAAGCACAAGCAGAACATGCCACCAGAAGGGCCATGGCCTGGTCACTGTCCCAGCACTGCTGTGTGCTGGTCGTGTGGTACCGAACCAGATGACCTCTCTGGCTTCTGGTTTCCTTGTCTATGAAATGAGCTAACTCTCCCAGGAACGGCACACACGAAATGATGACAGAGAATGATTGAGCAGCTAATGGTGTCTAGGAAAGATATTATTATTCCTACTTTACAGATGAGGAAACCGAGTCTCAGAAAGGAGAAACTGGCTTGTTCGAGGTCACACAGCCAGTAAGTGGCTGAGCTGGGACTCAAATTCATGTCTAATTCTGAACTCCAAACTCCCTTCCCCTTTACATAAATTAAACACCACGGTGCCTATTTGTACCAAATATTCTCCTCCATGTAATGGGAGCCGTGCTGGCATAAGGACCCACGTGTGGGTCTCCAGCTGTCCATTTTCATGGCTGGGAGGAAAGGCGGGTTTCTGCAGAGCACCTGCCCCTCTGAAACCTCCCAGCTCTTCCCAGTGCTGTTCCTTCTGCTTGAAATAGTTGTCTCCCTCCTTCTTCCAGGTCTCGATTTGCGTTGCTTCTGGGAAATGTGCCCAGATCCTCCAGAGGCCAAGCCAGGGGCTCTGTTTGGAGCTTCTGCAGCCCCCGTCCTTCTCCATCACAGCCTTTCTAAATGGGTCTGATCTCAGAGTTTAGTTGTTGGCCCCGAGAGGCTGTCACCTGTGTGGGGGCAGAGACAGGCCCAGCTGGGCCCAGTGCCGATCCGGCCAATGGTGGCGTTTCGTAAATGTCCACATCACTCCCTGAAGAATTTTCAGGCAAATTCAGAGCACACACATTGAATTCCTGCTCTGTGAGCTGCATGGGCAAGGACTTTGGGGGAGACAGAGGCGGTTAAGACACAGCACCTCTGCCTAAGAGCAGCACTCAGCTGATGATAAGACAGCGTGGAGGTGGGAAACGTCATAACAGAGCTACGGGGTGAGCGATCCCGTGGGGTTACTGGGGTGGGGAGGGCAGGGGAAGGAGGCAGGATGAGAAGCATCTGAGCAGAGGGGCAGCCTCAGAGATGGCTTTCGGGGTGGCAGAGGTGGGGTGCAGTGAGGAGAGGAGATACTTGCATTGGCAAAGGCATGGAGGTAGGACCCTATGTAGTTCCTTTATGCCCTGCAGAGCTAGAAGGGCAGAATCAGGCTCAGCTTAGCACTGTTGTCAACAATGGTAGTGGTTAATAACCAGTCCCCCAAGAGTTAGAACATGTAACCAGAATGGTCCTGGCATGAAGAAGGTGCATGATCAAAACTTGCAAAATGAATGGAGGAACCACCCAAGCCCAGGCTCGGATGGGTCCTCATGTAAGACCATGTGTTCAATGGACCTTAGTCACCTAACTTACTGAGGGCTGGTCATCTCAATGGTTATGGCTCCCAGAGTCAGAGAGACTTGGGCTTAAATACCACTGTGTTTACAAGCTGTGAAACCTCAGGGAATCCACTTAACCTGCCCGAGCCTCAGCTTACTCATCTGTTAAATGGGGGATAACAATACCTATGCCACAGGGTCATCGCAAGATAAAATGACATAGCATCGGTAACTTTGGTAAACTTGGCAACCATGGGAAGCCATCAGTAACACAGCTGGGACCTGTTGGTGTTACTACTATGAGGGCATACTCCTTACTGCAAAACTCATGGCCTTTTCATTGACTGGCTTATGAATAGAAGGCAAAGAAATAATACCTCACGTCACCTTCCCTTGGGTGGGCCCAAGAAATGAGGCATACAAACTCAGGTATTGGATATTCCAAGGCACTCATCACAGCCTGCCACAGATGGTGAAGTCCTTCTCACTCAGAAATGATAGCATGAGCCCTGTGTCCCAATCACAGAGTAGTTCTACATGGTTCTGTATACTTAAGAAATTCTCCCCCAGGTACTCAGGCCCTCCCATGCCTACACGCCCAGGCTGTACTTGAACTGACACTCGGAGCAGAGATCTCAGGCCTAGAAGCCAACTTGTGTTTGCGGAAAGCTCCAAAGCTTCTCCAGAGGCTCTGGGTGGCTGGGGGCTCCGCCAGGGCCTGGGGGAGGGAGGGGTCTGGCCAGGGGAGCTGGATCAGGTGGAAGGACATGATCTTGCCCATCTGCATGCAGTTTTCCCTCTCCTGTGGCTTGCAGTTTACGTGTCTTTCTTTCTGATGGCTTGGGCCAGCTCCGAGCAGATCTGTTCCTTGGTGGGAACAATCTAGCCACTGTCCTGGGGAGCCTGCCTCCCCCATCCTCCATGCCCAGCTGGGTGCAGGCCCACCCGGGCATGGCTGGCTTTCCCTGCGGGAACCAACAATGCCTCTCTATTGAGCAGCCCACGTGCCTGGGGCCAGGCTGGCCGGCCACCCTGACCTCTCCGCAGTCCCAGGCACCAGCTCCATCTGGAACGTGGTACAGTTTGGCATAACCCTTCTGATGGCACTGGAGCCATTCCACCTTCCAAGAAGATGCCGCGATATGGTTGTGCGACCAATAGCCCTGGTTTGCCCAAAACAATGCCTCTCTATTGAGCAGCCCACGTGCCTGGGGCCAGGCTGGCCGGCCACCCTGACCTCTCCGCAGTCCCAGGCACCAGCTCCATCTGGAACGTGGTACAGTTTGGCATAACCCTTCTGATGGCACTGGAGCCATTCCACCTTCCAAGAAGATGCCGTGATATGGTTGTGTGACCAACAGCCCTGGTTTGACTGAGGGGGTTCCCGGGATGAGGGATTTTCAGTGTTAAACTGGGCCACTTGGGACAAGCTAGTCCTTATATCCTTGCAGGAAGAGGTCAGGACCCAACTTTGGGATCCTGGGGCAGCAGCTGAGGCTGGAGCACAGACACCTGGGTCTTCCTAACAGTGCTGAAGACTTCTGTCCACTTCAGTGATTATAATGAATGATCACAATAAAAATCCCAATAAAAGCAACACACGTCATCTATAGAGAGCATTCCACGGGCTGGTGACTGTGCCGAGGGCCTGACACACGTTCCTCTTTAATCCCTATCATCAGCGGGACAGTCAGGTCTCTCATTATCCCCACGTCACATCACAGATGAGAAGCCCAAGGCACGGGCTTGTGAGGAGACTTGCCTAGATCCAGGATTTGCACTTCCTGGGCTCCAGAGCTTCCTCTCGGGGTCCCTTGGCCTCTAGCCCAGCCCCCTACCCTTGGTGGACACACACAGGTAACCCATGGTATTTGTGTAACCTAACACATTCACATCCACAGCTATACTCGGATTTTGACAAAGTCCCAAATGTTTGCACAGAAGAAAAGGAAGAAAAAGAAACTGCCACAGATTGATTACTTTTCTTCCTGCTCTTTAGTGTGACGAAGAGTATCCATCCAGAATGCTACATTTTGTGGGAAACTGACTATTCTGGGATCATTGCAGCATCAGTAACGCCCCCCCCTCCCATGCAGGGTGGCAGCCCAGACAAGACAGACTGGTGACCAGTGTCTCAAAGCACCTGCAGTGGCGGTTTCTCTTTTTCTTGTCTGCTCAGAACCCATCTCAGATGGCAAGTGACAGGGAGGGATGTGATTCCAGGGCCAGACCTCAATCCACTCCCATGAATAAAAAGAACTCTCTGGATAACATCCAGGCGTCACTATTAGCTACAGGTCACATGTCACAATTCAGTGCCATGATTAAGAAGCCCAGGTGAAGGTCCTGTCTGTACCTCTCCCACCCCTGCTGGCAGCCACATTGCACCCCCCGCTCCCCCATGGCAACCTTGGCCTGGATGGGGGTAAACATCAACATCTCCGGCCCCCTGGGGCAGCAGAGCTGGCCAGACTCTGGGGACATTCCAACCTGTGTGAGGTCACTGCCTGAGCCCAGGGTGGATCAGAGGAGGATTGACTTCAAGTGGCAGCTGTCCACTGCTGTCCTGGCTGAATAACTCCCCGAAGTGAGGGTCCAGGGCCCGGCAGCCAACTCCTCATGGCGACTGTTAGAGGTGGGCCTGTCCTGAGGTGGGCCCCAGAGCAAGGCCAGGGATCCTGGGCCCCCAGACAGCTGGGCACACAGGAGAAGCACCCCGCTGCACACACAGCAAATTGCAAAGCTAACTATTTTGCTTAGAGAGCATTTTAACACATAAATCAGATCTTGACAGTCCCTTGCTTAAAACCCTCTAATGGCTTTCCACTGCCCTGAGAATAAAAGCTAAGCCTTCTCTGTATGCCCTGGCCCCTGCCTGGTTCGCTGACCTTGACTCCAACACATCCCTTCACTCTGGTTTTCCTTCTGCTCCTCCAAGTTGGTTCCCTCCTCCATGATTTGTTCATGCCGTTCTCTCTGCTTCGCTCACCCTCCCCTCAGCTCATGAATGGACGGCTCCTTCTCACTGTTGGTTTGAGTCTTAGCTCGAACGTCACCTCAGAGAGGCCTTTCCGCACCACCCGGGCTAGTGGCACCTCATCTCTGCTCCTGCCACTCTGTTCGGTGGTCTGTGTCATTTCCTCCAATCATGCTACTTACTATGTCTCCTGCACTATATTGTCACCTCCCCAGGGCAGGGTGTCACTGCAGAGTTCACTGCAGGGACCCCAGCTCTGAGAGCAGCACTGGACGCTGAGAGGGCTCAACACATAGAAAGGACGAGACCATGTAGCTGCCAGGACCAGCTCTGTGGCTGACGCGTTCCC